TATTATATTAAATATACTGGTTTGAGTTTTTACGTTTTAAATAATTTTCTCTTTATATTTGACTCTTAAGTGCCCTGTACACTCTTGATATTGTTGTTTATTAAAATCAATACTATTGAAACATTTTCTAAATTAATGTAAAAACAACTAACAATTCGTATTATTATAAAGATATGTAGAATGTGTTTTTCACATTTTTAAGTTATAACTTAAGATAATGATTCAAATCAGAATTAAGCAAGTAATAAATCGTGTGATTTTGATCATTAAATATCAATTACAGCTACCAGCAAGTACAGTTTGCTTCTTAATCAGCATGCTATATAATATTAATTCTAATTTTATAAAGTTTGCTAAAAAAATAATGTAAAATTCATTTATAAGATATCGAGTAGATATATGACTCACTCGAATCTGTCAGTTAACATGTAATATGAAAGAAGTACATTAAACAAAATCGTTTTCTGTGTGCCCCTTATTCTCCAAAACCATATACAATAAAGAACGGTATTATTCACAATACAAATAAGTACATGTAATTTTTGTACCTTATAATAAATCAGACTTTCAAAATCTTCATATGAATCTTATTATATGTATGATTAGCATGTTCAATTTTCAAAACACCGTATACAAATTTACATTTATATATATATATATACATATACACACATACACAAGATATATGTATATTCGTGCATGCACTTAAATACGCAAATATTTAATTGCAAATTGCCCAATATATTTTTTTTAAGTATTAATTAGTATTGCATTAACAGATCGTGAATATATTTGTAACACCTGTTTCTTGTAGTCTTTTAATACATAATAAAATTTATCATTTTCATTAAAACAATTGATTGATTTGAAAAAGAATTATTTATTTGAATAAATTATTTTTGTCTGTTTTCTCTCTTTCAATGGGGAATATATGTATTTATTGTACAATAAATAAGTCAAATATGACATTACTAGCTTAAATATATTGTCCAACAAAAAGTATTGTAAAGACCAATAAATTAGTTTAATCAGGTGAACGATTCCTTCTCAGTGTCAGGATAGAGATTATAGAGAGTATTGAATAGCATTGAAATTCGAAGAAACTCCTCACACTCAAGACCAAAATTATAACAACCTTTCGCTTCGGATCGAAATCTTATGGATCATTGTTTGTAAAGGAGATATTTCTCTGGAAACTTAAGATACAACCTTCAGAGTTTTATTCAGCGCTACCTGAGAAAAATGTTGAAAAATATTGTAATTGATGAAAATGAGGTTAAATATCAGTAGGTCTTTTATAAAAATATGATTTTATGTTGTCTATCTGTTTGTATATTATATTTTATAGTATATAAAAATGCTTTTTTAAATATTTACGTACAATTTTTCTTGATCAAATTACGCAATTTGGAAGTTTATCCAATAATACTCAAAACCAACATCAAAACTCGTAAGAAAAAATTGTAAGATAATTTCTAAAAAAGTTCTCCGTAGATAAAGTTTCATACCGTTTCTGTAAGAAATTCTGCAACAAATTTTTTTAGAAAAAATTTGTTATCGAGTGGCAGAATGTTGAATATACATAATTTTATTGTTGTAACCATAACATTTTTGTTAAGATACAGAATTGTAAAGACAATCTATTTAGAAACGGCCAAAAATATCTCAATGTACAATATTTTAAATTACAACTCACAGATGATGTACTTGTCTACACCTATCTACTCCAAAAAAGGATCTCATTTGCGTTCCACTGCATTGAGTAAAATTTGTTTTTTTCAATAATACAACTTATGTTGCACTGAAAAAGAATTGTTCATTCAACTAAATTCTTTTAGATAGTTTTTATTTCTTTTAATAAAGAATGTATGTACTTAAATCACAAAGAACACGTTTAAATATAATTCAATTAAAGAAATAAAGACTGAAATAATAATCGAATAAAAAGTTCTTTTCCAGTGAAGGTTTATATACAGCCCAAGTGGATTAACAAATTCCAACTGTATGGTATTACACACAGCGAATTTAATGAATACAGAAAATCTGACTTTTGCTAGATTTTCAAAATTTTTATGTGGAAAGTAAAAACGAGCAATGCAGCAAAAAGTTCTAGCAATCAGCTTGACCATCCTACAAAATTATTTTTATAATCTAACAAATTAATTCTCAGATCTGTATCTAGCTAAATTTTTAGATCTTTCAGTAAAATCGTTCTCTCCGTGTACATATTAAAAATAAACAAAGCAATAATCTTGGAATAATAATAAAATACAGATTAATAATTAAACATATAGTATATTACACGAATCTTTTAATTATGTCGCGTTATATTACGAACACACAAAGCTTATTACAAATTGTCGACTTTTCAAACCAATTCCTTTTTTAAAATAAACAATACATTTGAAATTGGATCGTAAATTTCAAAACGTTAACGATTTAACGAAATTATGTTTATCTACTGACTCTGATGATGACCGCTATCGTTTCGTAAACCATTGTTTTCTTGTTACATTTGAAGAAGCAGCGACAAAGTATACCATACCGTTATTCGTAGGTACGGCAAAGACGTGCCTGTAACTAAAAATTGAAGTCAGCAATCAAGCTATACTTTTGCAACGTAATTAGTAAGTACATAACACACATACTTGACATGCAAGCACATACACGACATAATACCTGTTTTATTCTAATTTGAATGACCGAGAGACAAGCAAATAAGATGTTTAAATAAGTACTGCTATTTAATCAGCCAGTTCTTGAGTTTTAACGAGTTAATGAATTGAGACATTTCTAAATTTTGTTCAAAAATAATCCGTACATACTTTACATAACATATTTTAGTAGATACAGTATATATAACAACACTGAGAGAAAAGATTTTGTTATAGGTACAAATCAAGGGAAAGCAAATGTGATATTAGTTAAAAAAACAATCGATTCGTTACGAATGCAAATTAATAATTGGTCAATGTAACAAATAATCAATAGTATCGCTAGCAGATAAGAACAGTTGCAGGGTCTCAAATCGTAAGAAATTGACTAATTCTAGTATTCTCCTTATATTTGACTATGCTTGGTCGGTTTTCTACAACTTAAGGGGATCCTAAAGATCTGTATTACCGACTAAACACGTATAATTTTTGTATAACAAATACTCTTTTTCTCTTTCACGGATTGGAAAATCCTTTTCCAGGATTAAAGTATACGCATAAATACGTGTTTGTGAAATGGAGTCTACGCTGAGAATGATCAAAAATTTCGAAATCGATATATTTTTTACCATTCCTTAGTATAACATGGCGTCTCAGCTGTCAAGTGTTGACAACATTTGCTTGAGAATTGACACGTATGTGTGACTGCGGGTGCGATCCACTTGACGCTACAAATGCTTTGAAGCATTCTTTGATTGGTCAATTCGTAAAATTCTTTCTTCTGATTGGTCAACGACGTATTTGCAGCTTTAAGTGGATCGCACCCTGGGTGTATCATAGGCTGCGTGAGATATTGCTGTGCACAGCAACCATGGTAGTACAAAACACATGTCGATGTGCATAAAGTCACTAGATTGATAAAGTACCGCAAACTCGCATCCATTACTAATCTAGTGACTTTAAATGTGCAGCGCGCGGCGCGACATCTAAGGTTTGTTCGCGTCGCTTACTCCAAATTAATCCAGAGAGCACTTGGATCACCGGTAAGATGGCGGTTGGAGCAGTTGGATTCATGTGCCCCAACGCTCGGTGACACGAACGAATTTAGGACAAGTTGGGACAAGCGTCCTCCAAGAAAAAAGCATCGCTCAGCCTCATGGACCGAGATTAATCGTTAAATTGAGCGCCACTTTCGTTAAAGTTGACTACAGAACATAGGTTAAGATATCTGTAACAACCATGAAATTCTTCTCTCAACTACACATTCTCAATCATTACGCATGCGTGCGTAACATGCCCCAACCGTACCACCTTCTGAAGGCCCGTCTACAATACACGGAGTAAGAAGTAAGAGTAAGAAATTGACCAATCACAGTCGAATATGAGAAGAATAATCGACTGTGATTGGTCAATTTCTTACTCTTACTTCTTACTCCGTGTATTGTAGACGGGCCTTGAGGTGAGGCAAATGGAGCGTGCTCTTAATTGATCCATGGAGTATGCTCTAACGCGACGCAAACATCTAGTCGCCATATTGATTCCGGTGACGCGAACGTATTGGAGCGCGTTGGAATGAAAAGGAGCATATTGGAGCGTGCGACGCGAACAAACCTCTAATGATTTCGTCGGAGTTCGAGCTTTGCTTTAGGATCCCCTTCAGCCTTGTGTCCACGATGCTAGAAATCGGTCCGAGATCTCGGTTGAAGAAAGCATTGACCAATCGCAATGGTCATGTGATCAAATTGTTCAAATGTGATTTGTTAATTTTTTCTCTGTCCGAGATCTCGGACCGATTTCTAGCATCGTGGACACAAGGCTAAAGACTCCACGATCATCTACGAATTCTATGTAAATGAACTAAAGACTATCCAAAAGATAGGTTAGATTCTATATAGTTTGTTTCTGTTACTAATAATTGGTTGGTATAGCAGACTAGCAGCAATCATAACAACAAAAATTGTTACATATTCACCGATCACCGCCCACCGGTTAAAAGTACTGGTGGCTTGCCAAATTAACAATATCCTGTAAGAGATTAATAGGATAAGGTTAGGTTCCCGTCCTTGGCGCGCTAGTTCTAGATGGCGTAGCTGTTAGTAATCCGCATGCGTACAACGTGCGATGTTATTATTGGTCCTTCAGACCACGAGATAGATACGGATTGCCGTTCGCTCGCTCGTGCGACGTGATTGGAGTAGTGTGCCCAACAGGGTGCGTAAGTGTGCAAGGAGATGAGGAGCGATGGTTAATTCGACGAGTCCCATTTGAACCCATTTGAACCACGCCACGTGAAGTGACGTGAAGGCGGAATAAATCCTTGTGTGATATTTTATACCAAGTACAAGAGCCTATTTCTTCGCCCATCCTTAAGCTATTCTTTAGCTCGTGCAGATAATCCTGTCCTGACTCTCAGATTATCCTTACGATCCTGAAAGACGACATATCGTTCCCTTCGGATCTCGTTCCTTTCTTACAAGGAGATTCCTTCTTTCGTAACATAAGGCGACAATTCAATTTTCCTCTCCACGCCTTACAATCCTTTCTCTCAGTGAAATTATCGCATGTAAACCCATCATATACTATCGCTCAAAGGTTTGGAGTATTTGATAATTTTTAAATAAATCACTATTCTTTACCAATTATATCATTTAAAAATATAAAATTTATTATTATTTTTAAGCGTATATTATAACAATAATATAAGATTGAGATAATAAACATTTTAGTCCATTTACAATGTTAATAAATAAATTAAATTTTCTTTCGAAATTTAGAAATGCACCAAACTTAGCAATAACGTACATATTACAGTACAGCTAAGTAAGTATAATCAATCAGCAACTATCCCCACAACTTTATAATATTTCAAATAGCTCCTTAATATCAACATTTCTCAGGTCAAACATTAAATTAGTATTATAATATGATAATTTGTGAACCATTACACGTAGCTTTCAGTAAAAATTTAATAGTCTTGTGTTCCAGTTCTAATTTAGCATTATGGCAGAAATTAGGCCAAATGGGAATGATTATACATCTAATAATCTACCTTATGCTATCCATCCTATCACGCCACCGAATCTCTCAGAAATCGCTGATGGTATGTGTAAACAATGTTGATTATTTAATTCACGAAACACATCGTATTTGATGCATGTGATATCTGATAATAGTTCTGCAAAATGGAATGCAACCCCTGTTTCACGATGTGAGAGTCGACATAGCTAGCTGCCCTGATTTAACTACAGCACCATATAATCTTGCCGGAGTAGGTAAGAAATCACAACAAAGCGTCTAATTTGTCATTAAATGGAGCATCTTTAAAAATGAATAATTCATACAGGATTAGGTGGCAACACGTCGCTAGTAGAATTCCTTCGTCGCGAAGTATATACACCGTGGCAGCATATAACACGGGATATTCGAAAAGTATTCACAGGCAGCATCCATGATTTCTTTATCATCGGATCTACTTTCGCTACAAAACCAACCATGCCTTATTACGGACATGTATGCATTATCAATATATTAACATTTTCATGATCATATGGATAATACTATTATGACAATAAAAAGTTATGATGATATGTCTTTGCTACATAACTGATGAGGTAACGATAGATAATTTACGAATCATCATCAAATGATCGTTATCTTACCGCTGTTTCGTAATTCTATTCTATTGATTTAATACTATTCAATTTATTCTATTGAGCTTCAATTATGTTTTATCATATACACGACTTCTTTGACATTCTTACTGTTTCTCATAAACCTGATAATTGTTGTAGCTCATTATGAATGCAATGTACACAGCACCTATGGGTATTAGGAACGAGAGTCGTCTTATTTTCAAAGAATCGCGTAATGGACAGACAAGAATAGAAAAGTTAACTGATCCTAACCAAATGATGTACACATACAAGGGCAACTTCTTTATCAGCGAGGGTAGGGAAGGCCCTGTTATCAGAGTGCGTGCCAAAGGTCGAAAAAAGAGTGATACAGACATCATAACTTCAATGCAAACGGTCCTTTACGAAAATTATAGAAAAAAGAAGAACAAACTTGTTGGTAATTAGTAGTCTGGTGTATACAGTTGATAAAGGACATATAAAGACAATCAGATAATTTTATATGTCTGTCCTCAAAGCTTTAGGTGGTGTTCTAAAAATGACAAACGGACGTGTGGGGTGTAACCTTATATGGGATGAATATCGGGACCGGATATTACCATTTCCCGATTTTGTTAAAGCACAGCAATGTACCGAGATATGTCTAGAGTCAGATATGGTAGCCGTTGGCACAATAATTAACCATCAACCACTACAATTTAATCAGGAACAACGTTACGGTGTTGTAAGTTATTTGTCCCAGTTATGCGGAAACTAAAAATCATTGATCTTGAAATTATCATATTATATTATTTATCATAGATAGATATCTTTAGAAATTTACTTGTTTATTTAATAATTAATGCAATTACTTTTATCATTCAGCTTCTGTCAAATTTTAATTTGCGATTATTAAGTTCAGTTAAAATAGAGAAATCTTTCTCAATTGTTTAATCATTGAACGCATCAGTTGCGTCTAAATACGAAAATTTAAACATACCGAAGTAATGATATTCTTTATTTGTTCGTTTTTCAGAATCTGTATGATAGAAGCGAGTTCCATTGTTTCAATAATTATGGAGCAGGCGGACAATTTATTACCGATACTACTCCGGATACGACGGAATATGAAGGTTACTTCAATGTAGCGGAAAATATACATTTACAAGTATTATAACTAAATGCCATTTTAATCATAAACTAGGCCATTATGTTCTCTCATATGTAAACAGAAATTTATATATAATGTTACCTAGCACACTAATGTGACGACGACGTATGGGATTACAATATCTTATAAGCTTTCTTTGACATTTTTAATTATTTATGAGGACGTAGAGTTCTTAATATTCGAGAAACGTTCTAATAATTAATCTCTTTGGATTTAAAGGTATAGAACCTTGTTACGTTTCCTTGAAACAAAAATTGACAAAGTAACTAAATTAATAATTTATATATCATAAATTCATAATTTAATTACTTTAATTAAAGCAATTTAAATTCAAATATTTTCGATATGAGTAAAATTATGAAATAGATAACATAATTACATGAAAAATATTGTGGATATAAAGATCAAAGAAAAATTCCATACGTCATCTATGTACTTAATTCGTAGTATTAAATATGTGAGACTCATTTTCATTAAAGAGGTCTCAAGTTATCAAATTACATTTTACTGTACAGAATTAATGTCCCTTAAGTATTTTTGGTTTTCATATTTCTAAATTTTTCGAGACAAAACGGTAAATTTTAAATGTTTTTACGGTTAATTTTTATATGAACAATTTGGTATTAACGTTGTATTCTTTATGACTGAAAACAGTAATATCTAATTAAACACTAAGATTGTGCTAAAGTTAAGAAAGTCTTTTTAAAAATAAGTTGTTACGCGTTATGATTTACTGAAGAATCGCATTACCTTATAAGCTTTTTTTGATGTAATTTTTGTGATATAATGAGAATTTTTAGTTCTGATATTCGAAAAACATTCTAACAACTAATCCGTTTGGATTTAAAGACATACAATCATGCTACGTTTCCCTGAAACGAAAATCGATAAAGTAACTAAATTCATAATTTATTATACATAGCATAAATTCATAATTCGAGTACTTTAATTGAACATAATTTAAATTTTAATATTTTTCAATATAACATGACAAGAATTCTTGTAGTACTAAGTAAAATTCTGGAATAGATATCATAATTGACTCACACTTCACGGATCGTTCAACGAATATGAATTGAGATCATATTGTAACACTCGTAAAGAGAACTTCACCATTGTTCATAACACGAAATCAAATCGTTATCGATTGATTTTTCGGACCGTTTGATTTGATATCGGCTAAATTTTCTAATGATTGCGTTAAAGTTACGAAAATCATTTAAAAAATTGACTTGTTCCATTAGGCGTTATGGTTAAAAATGGTAATAAATAACTTATAACGCATAGGTGAATTATTTTTTTCGTTACAAGTAACAAATAAAAGTAACGAGTTACAATTAAATAATTATTTGATTCTATAATAACTTTTTTAACCCTTTAGAAATAACGTTTGACTTTTGCAACTCAAGAATTACCGTTACTATCATAAAAACTTCGTAATATCATTATCAAATTGTTACTGTATCAAAATAACGATAAAAGCTAATGCATACTTTCATTCTTTGCTTTTAAGTTATCATTTTCTCGTTTACCGTTTTTCTCTCAGTATTATAATTTTGTAATGCAAAGTTCACATTTATATAGAATGTAAATCACTCGAATGTTTCCACTTATATATAATAATCTGAAATAAATATATTAAATTAAACCTTTTTTTATTTCTTATTGACAAAATCCTATATAAGATGAAATATATATACAGTTTATATAACGACATATAATATATGCATATCATAATCTTACATTAAATCGGACTTTCATAATCTTCGAATAAATTTCATGATATACATTATCCGTATTTTGATGTTTTATACATGCAAATATTATACATGCACAAATATACATGCGTATGCACTGACTGCAAGAAGTTCTCATATAACAAAGTTTTTATAAAAAAAAAAGTTTATTTGCCGAATATTAATATTAATATCAAGTTTTATACAATGAATGCGTTTTGCTCTAATATAAGCAACCGAAATTTGCACGACTTCCTGTTTTAGAAGCTAATTTTCTCCACTGTATGTATAATTTCCGTGCGTGCAAAAAATGCTATTTTTAATTTTTACTTATTTTAGAGATAATATAATTTATTTAAATATTCGTAGTGGGATGTAGAGTGGCGTTGTTTGAGGGCGGAGAATTTCTTGGTTTTTCAAATAAACAACACCACTCTCTATACCGCCTCGGATATCTATGAAAAACTAAAAATCTCGTCTCAATCTATGTAGCTTTTCATAAAAATTTATTCCTCAGAATGTCTATCTCCTTTGTACACTGCATTGTTCAAAGTGTAAAGAATATCATTTTTTCGACTTTACTATTACAACGGATATATAATAATGCAAATTGCGCATTATGTAATCGTGTGACTCACTCGTATCTGTCTGTTAACATGTAATATGAAAGAAGTACATTAAACGAAATCGTTTTCTGTGTGCCACTTATTCTCTCTCGAAAATCATATACAATATAGAACGGTATTATTCACAGTACAAGTAGGTACATTGTTATTGGAGTTCGCCTTTATATTATAGTTTCCGTTAATAAGTGGAAATGGTTCACTGAAATGAATTAGTTTGTAAAAAAATTTTTTGTAATTACAACATCATGTTGTCTCTGAGGATGGCTCAAAAGTAAGCTGAAACATGTAAGCGGATTAATTATTAATAAAGTTGTTTTATTAACTGTATTGGTTTGCACAAGAATTACCGTGCTTGACTGCCATTGCTCTGTTATACCCAACCTTTTTTTCTAGTATATTTAGTTAAAGAAATGATAAAATGTTGTATAATTTTGTATGTCCGGTCTCGCAGCTTTAGGTGGTTCCAAAAATGCGAAATGAAAGAGTGGCGCATTACATTATGCCGGAAGAATATCCGAGTCCGATTTTATCTTTCAACAATTTCATTAGACGGCATCAATATCAGAAAATAATTCTAGAATCAGAACTAGTAGCTGTTGGCACATTAGATAACTCCAACAAAACACTATTAGTCCTGTCTCGGAACAGGGTTACATCACTTCTGTAAGTTATTTGTGCCGCAGATACAGAATCATGCAGATACCAAAAATCACAGATACAAAAAAACAATAGCCTTCAAATTAATGCACTTTATACCCTCTAACAGGACATAAACATCGCACGAAATTTAATTTTTTATTTATTAATTAATCCAGTGGTTTACGTTTATTCGCTTTTATCAAATTTGCATTTAAGACTTTTATTAAATTAAAGGAGTAAAACATTACTCAATTATTTAATTGTTAAAGACAACTATTGTGCCCAATTGTAATTCTCGAAACTTAAACATCATGAAAAATTAATACTCTATGTATTTCAATATCTAATGGACAGACATCATCAATTCTATAGTTATTCCAGAAATGGAGCAGGCGGGCAATTTATTAACGATACCACTCCGGATATGACAGATTATGAATGTTATTTTAATTTAGCAAGAAAAATTAATTACCTGAATTATTAGGAATAAATGACTTTTTAGTCCAAGATTAGTTCCTTATACGCTCTTACATTTTAACGGAATTTTACATAATATTGTCTAATATATTGTGACGAAGATGTCATATCGAATAACAATATTATATAAGCTTTTCACACATTTTTAATAAAATAAATCATTTTCTAATATTCCACGAATGTTCTAGTAAGAGCAAAAAATACGGATTTAAAAATATAGAACTTTGTTATAGTTTAATGAAAAAAAAAACAATAAACTAATTAGATTCATAATTTACTATAAGTAAAAACAATTTAAATTCTAATATTTTTTTATATACAACGAACCGAAAATTATACCACTAATCAGAATTCTGAAACAGAGTAAACAAAATAATTTCATGGAAAATATTAAACTCACAAGGAGAGGAAATATAAAGAAAAAGTTCAAACATCATTTTATCTATGTACTGTGAATACATTAGACCCGTTTTTAATGAAGACATCCCAAATTAAAACATTTTATAAGTTAAAATAATTATTGTATTTTAAAAAAGTTTTTGATTTCCATATTTTTAGTGTTTTTTTTTAGAAAAACGGATAACGTTCAAATTCTAACAAAATCCTTCTACTCATACTCCAGATTAAATCCAAAATTAAAAGAACTTTTCGATCAATTGTATCATCAAATCTTATGGATCAATGTTGTGTGTGTGTAAAGATTTTTTCTCTGTAATCTTAAATATCTTTCGGATATTGTTTTACGTTAACTAAGAATTAAATTGAAAAATATTATAATTTAAAAAAAAAATAAAAATCTGACTCTTGAGATAAAACTTAACCAATAACAGGAAACACGAGCAATTAAGAGTCTAAACTCGTTTTATATATTTGTATGTACTGAGAAATATATGTTTATATAATCGCTCCAATTACTGCGAGTTTAGGGTCTTAATTGCCCGTGTTTCCTGTTATTAATTATAATTTAAGTTATACATTTTACAAAAATGATTTTATTTTACTTGCTCTGCAAAAAAATTTTACGATAAAATATAGAAAAATTACACACATTGAGACAAGTTCCTAGAAATTATGTTTCGTAGATATTTGTAATGGAACGTAGCGTAAGGTTTGTCGTAGAAATTCTTAGCTTTTCGTAGATATTCGTAGTGGGATGTACAGTGGCGTTGCTTGAGAGCGGAGAATTTTTTGGATTTTCAAATAAACAACGCCACTCTCTATATCACCTCAAATATCTATAAAAAACTAAAAATTTCTAAAATCTCGTCTCAATCTTTGTAGCTTTTCATAAAAATTTATTCGTCAGGGTGTCTATCTCCTTCTTTGTACATTGCATTGTTTAATATTGTAAAGCATATCATTTTTTGGACTTTTTACTATTACAATGGTATAATGCAAGTTGCACATTAGGCAATCGCGTGACTCACTCGAATCTGTCAGTTAACATGAAATATGAAAGAAGTACATTAAACGAAATCTTTTTCTGTGTGCCTCTTATTTTCCAAAATCATAATAATAATAATAACAATAATAATAGCTTTATTACATTGCATGCGTTTACATATTAGATGAACTAAGTAATACAAAGAGCCAAGATAAGTACCAGGTGCAAGCCAAAAGCG